AAATTACTAAAATAATTTTTATAAATAAGATATACTAACCCAAGAATACTCATAAAAATTAGGTTGCTAATGAAATTAAGATGACTACAAAAATTTATCATATAAACAATATAAACACTTGTTGTAATATCATAATTACATTCATCTTGTAACCATAGAGCTTCTACGAAAGTTATTAATGTGACTATTATAATCCAGCTTAAGACGAACCATATTATTTTCATGTGTAATTTATGATAATCTGTTATTATTCCGAGTTTTTCCAACGTATTCTCCACAATAGTGAGCTTCTTTAAACAGTTCTTAAATTTCTAATATAAAAGACAATGTATAATAACGCATGAAAAATTAATGCTAATCTGAAAATTTGACTGTATTATAATTAATGAAGCAATTAATTTAGTTATAAAAAGATGGAACATAAGCGATGAAACATGTATACATATGTTTTCTTACCGACGTTCTATCTTTTTACAGGTAAATTAATTACTTTATTATAACATAGTTAAGTTTTCAAATAAGTATTAATTTTATATATACTTTATATATATTTTATATATAATTTTATATATAATTTTATATATTTTTTTATATAATTTTTCTTGTGTACCAAACAATAATTTGCAAAATATATCAAAAAGAAGTTATTAATAATTTGTGACGCATCAATACGTTAGCATTTTCTTTGTAGTATTTTTCTTACATTATATACAAATATAATATAAGAAATCATAAATTAAAAATGTGAATTATTGTTAAATAAGTGTTATATATACTATTTAAGTTATTATCTCAAAATATGATTAATATAATGTTTTGTAATATTGCTGATTATTTTTAAAATTGCTTCTTATTGCTGAGCAAATATTTTTACCTTATTATGATACGCTCCAACAATAATTGACAATAATATCGTAAAAAAATCCAAATAAAAACAAATGCGATACACAATAATATTGGTATAAATACTAATATATGGCATCACTGTATATTTGAAAAGTAAATAATAAACTGACCAGAATAACAGTATGTACAAGAGACTTAAACATGATGTTTGACAACACGTAGGAATTTCGATAATTTTTAAACCAAAGACGTAACTGATCGTTAAAAATGGTGATAAGATTGACTGAATGCTTTTAGTCATTGCATATATGGTTACGATTCTGAACACTTCTTTTATTACCCAGATAGTTGCACTAGTTGCACTGGAATAAGGATAGTAGATCCTCATAATATAACTGAAATATTTGTAGATATTAGATTAATAAATTTATTTAAGTACATGTTGCATACAGTCTATTGAAATAAGATTAGTAGTGAATATGTCGCCTGTTTTTATGTAAAGCATATTCAAGAAGATATTAATGTTCTTCTTGCTCAAGATATTAATGTTATTCTCTTGGCATATCTGTCTTTCATTTTATGATTAAGGAGTCTTCATTGTTAACATATCCAAATGTATAATAGAACAAAATATTATCGACTTTAATTAATATTAAAAATGTACAATAAATTAAGATATAAATACAAAAATATTAAAAATTTATTTCGTTACGTATAATAGATATTATCATTTGAATAAAATATGTATTTCATTAGAGATAAAATATTACCTTAATAAGAAATTGTTATTATAAGACAAAAAAACAAGTAAATGTAATTTATTATTAGAGTTAGACATTTTATTAATTATATTACAACTAATTTTTGTAATTTTAAGCAAAATATAAAATATTTATATTTTATCTTGTAGCATTTTCAGAAAGGATAATATTATTTCTATTTTTAAATTACCAACTTTTTAATTATTCTTGATACAGAAATATCCAACTATGTTTAAAGGATATCATATAATATGTTTTATAAATTAGTATATATATTATTTAAATTATATTTTATATAAATCCTATTATAATTTTAGATTTATTTGCACACGCTTGTATTACTATAACTGAAACTGTCGCAATGGACATAATAAACTAAAAATAAAAACAATATATGAATTCTTTCAAATATTTATCACAACTATATAATACATATAACGTACCCTATATATAAATTTGAAACCAAATTGGAAGAATCCGATCCCGCAAAATCTAAGTGGTGCATAAATTGTTCGAAGTGATAGATGTAAAATCTGTAGTTATAAAATATTATTTTTAATATATCCTTAATATATAATTATATTACATTTTTAATATATTATTCTTAATATATGAAAATAATGTATTCTTAATATATAATTTTTAATATATAGTTTATTAGTTTTTATTAGTTTTATTAACTTTATTATTTATTTTTATATTTTTTGAACATTATCTAAAGTCTACTTTAATAATATTTAATCATCACATTTTAAGACTTACAATTTCACGAACTTCAATATTACAAGTAGAATACGATAATCTATTTAATAAATCTTTTATTACATTTGCCTAAAATTAGAACATGTTAAATAAAATAAAATTTATTTTTAATACAAAAATATATATTAAAAATATATATATAATGGATATATAAAATAATACTATATATATATATATATATATATATATATATATATATATATATATATATATATATATATATATATATATATATATATATATATATATATATATATATATATATATATATATATATAATATATAACAGCGACTATCACTTAACAATTAAATTTTTGTTTATCAATATTTTAAAAATAAGACATAAAAGTAGTACCTTGTTGCTGACTGTTTCACACATGTAATTAATGAGCAGAAATTTTGAAAAATTATGAAAAAACCAAAGGAAATGTACAATGGCCCACATTATTCTATGTTCTATAAAATTTTCAATAAGTATTGTGGAGAAAAATACTTGCAAGTCAATTGCTATCCAAGTAAAATAGCACACCATTTTAAAAGTAGTTTGTGTTCCAAATATTGAGTCTATCTCACAGGATATTTTGTGTAACTCCAAATGAAGATGTCTGCACAGTAATTAAATCTTATAGAATGAAATTCGCAGTTAACAGTACATCTTTATAACTTGCTTACATAATGATCCATATTATGTGTTTATCATTTAAAGTCTTTAAAAATCTTCTTTGAGGGTGTATCATTTGACATTCCCAAGCTTGTTTTATTTCTTGTTTATCTTTTATTAAATTTTGAAGGAGTAAGTTGATTTGATCAAACTTTAAGCCTATGTATCTAGATATAAAAAAAATAATGTTATTCTTAATAGATAATAATGAAATATTCTTAATAGAAATATTCTTAATAGTTAATATAATGTTATTCTTTATAGATAGCAAATATTTAATATTGATATCCTAAATTAATAATATTTCAAAAGCTTACAAATTGTAGTGCATAATAATTTAATTTTATCAATATGAAGTAAAGTAATAGTCATAAAGAAACCAATAAAAAGATATATTTACTCAAGAATACTTGCAGTAATCAGATCACCAAAAGCGTTAATATGAAAGGAGTAGTTTAATATAAAGATGAAAAATACGGCTGTGGCAGTATCACAGGCATGTTCAACCTTTATATATAATGCTGTACCACAATTCATTAATATTACTATTACAAACCATCCTAAGATGAGAGATATTGTCTTCTTGCGTAGCTTTTTATAATCTGTCATTGTTCCTAATTTAATCAATGTATCATCGACAATATCAAGTCTCTTTAGGCAGTTTCGGAATTTCTATTACAGAAGATGCAATGTAGAGCAAATAAATAATTAATTCGCAAAAATATATTAAATTTATACGATTTATGATTAATAGGGCGTTCATTTTCTTTTCAAAAATGTACAAAAGCTTTTAAGTACACATATTATTATTTGTACATATTTTTTTATATAATTTAAAATTATTAATTGACGTACGGAGAAAGGAATTTATTAATACACGCGAAAATAATATAGAGCGATTTGTATAACTCTCGAAACAGGTTTTCTATTAAATGTTTACTTATAAATAAAAATGAAAAATTTATTATAATTATTTTAGACATTTATATTTAGACATTTAACAGTATTTATTGTTTATTATTAAATTTATTAATATTTTCTTACCTTATCATGATATACACCAAATATAATCGACAATAATGTCGTAAAGAATTCCAGCGAATGGCAAACATGATATTCGACAGAAAAAACCTTAGTAATGAAAGATACTACTGACATTAAGAGAAAATAATAAATTAACCAGATAATTAGCATATATATAAGATTAAACCATAATTTTGCACGGTCTGAAGATAAATTGGCAATTCTTGAACCAAATACATAACTGATTATTAGGAATGGTGTTAAAATTGTTCGAATACTTTGAGTCATCGTGCACGCTTTCATTATTTTGAACTGCTCTTCTTTTACTTAGACATTTGTTCATATAAATTGCACAAATGGTAACAATGGCAGATCTTTTTAATTTCTACTGAGACACACTTATGGATATTAAAGGAATCAATTTGCTGAAATTTATGCAACTATATTATTAACGCAATTGAAAGAATGGACGAAGATAAATTTTTATTACACAAATTAGATATGGACTTAATAGAGAAATATTGTAGAATATTGTTCTTGTTCTTTATTTTTTATGTATATTTGTATACATGTATAGAATTATACAGCGCAGAAATATCAAATAGCACAAAAAAAGTACTAAAAGTATAAGTATAGTATTAAAAGTACTAAAAGTACTAAAAGTATCAAATAGCACTAAAAGTAAATTTTAATCATACATTTACAATTAATAAATATAAAATACATAAATACTGTATTTACATTACTATAAAGCGTTGCTTTCTGCTGTGATAAAAATTTTATTATTTTATTATTTGAATAAACTTTTTAAAAAATAATTCTTTTAAGAGTAAAAATAATTATAAAAAGAGACGAAATTAATGTCAAAATATATCAGAAATAAATTTTAAATTATGTTTCAAAGAAATTTTATAATATATTTTATGAAAAAAAAACATATATTAATTATTATTTGAATATTTTATGTATTTTGTTATAAATTGTTAAGAATGTTTACTTATTTTCCTTTACTTGTATTATTATAATTAAAACGGTTACAATAGACATGATAAACTAGAAATAAAGATACTATGAAGGTTTTGTAAATATTTATCATTTAAAATTTGAAATGTTTAATAATATGATAAATCTAACGTACCTTATAAAGAAATTTGTAGCCAAACTCGAAAAAGCCGACTCCATAGAATTTAAGTGGTGCATAAGTTATTTGCAATGAGAATTGTGTAATCTGTATTAATATGATATAACATAATTTGTATTAATACAGTAAATTGTTTTAATATATTTTATTCGTTGTTTATATATATTATTTTAATAATGTACAGTACATATTATCTTTGTACTTACTATCTATTTTTGCACTTACAATTTCACGAACATCAAGGTCACAAGTAATATATGATAATTTATTTATCAATTTTCCTGTTATACTTGCCTAAAATTAAGAAATATTAAATAAAAACTGTTTTTACTATAATAATATAAAAAGTAATAATTATTTACTAATTAATTAAGTATTTTAATGTTAAAATGTTTTTTGAAATAAGATAGAAATAGAATCATACCTTGTTGCTGACTGTTTCACACATGTAATTAATGAGCAGAAATTTAAAAATGTCATGAGAAAACCACATTAAGCTTATAATTGCACATAATATTTTATTAGATTTTACAAAATTATCGAGAAATATTGTATAAAAAAATTCACGTAAGTCGAACACTAACCAACCAAAATAAAATACCATTTTGAAAGTCATCCGTGTTCCGAATATTGAATCTATCTCATAAGATATTTTTTTTAACTCCAAATGAAGATGCCTATACGCATAAATGAAATAAATAAAATTTTATTCCACATTATTTCTAGAAATAATTAATTTTGGCCTAATGTTACTGCAATTAGTCAAATTAATGTAAATTTTCTTACGTAATTATCCATGTTATGCGTTTGCTACTTAAGTCTTTTGAAAATCTCTGTCGGTGAAAATGTATCATGAAATTTTCCCAAGTTTGCTTTTTTCTGTACTTATTACTTTCCATAAAATTTTGAAGATGTTGATTAATCTGTTCAAACTTTAATCCTATATATCTATGACATATGAAAAAAAGTTGATGAGTGACCAAATTGTTATTAGCAAGTAAATATATCAGCATTTCTAAAAATATTTTACTAAATTATTGTGTTCGATAACTTAACTTTAAAAATATTTTTAAATAACTTAATTTATTTTATTTGATAACTTAATTTTATAAATTTGTGGGCAATCTAAATGTCATGAAAAATAATTGTTTAAAAAGTTTTATTAACCCGAGTATAGTTGCTGTAATCAAATCATCGATAACATTAATATGGTAACAGTGATTTCGTATAAATACAAGATACATAGCAACTAAAATATCACAATTCCTTTCAGCTTTTACGTATAGTGCTGTTCCACTGTTCATTAATACAACTATTATGAACCATCCTAAGACGAGCCATACTGTTTTCTTATATAGTTTGTTATAATCTGTTACTATTCCAAGCTTATACAAAGTATCATCGATAATATCGAGCTTCTTTAGACAATTTCGGAATTTCTGTTAAGAAAGATGTAAAGCGGAATTTTATACAATTTTGAAATAATTAATTTTAGTTAACAATAACACTTCCCAAATAATAATAAATAATAATAATTAGAGTAAAAGAAATAGGGCTATGTGAATAGCGCAGTAAATAATGCGGAATTAAATTAAATTCTTCATTTATTTTCGAATTTCCATACGTTTTTGCTCTAACGTGATTGAGCATCGGTGTATCTTCAGTGATACACCGATGAAAATTGAAAGGCCGAACTCTGGCCGAACCATGGCACAGCAAATTATTTGTCTATCTTGGTTACCAAATCGCATGAGGGAAACGATTTAATCATATCTCTACAAGACGACAAAAAACTTATATGATAATCTAAAAATTTTTTGTATATTTGGATTAAGTATTTGCTGTGTTACTTATCACAACAGATTTAAGCCGTACATAATATGTGGTTAAATTAAACAAAAATTGTATAGAATTAAAAATAAAAATTAAAAATTGATAAATTAAGATTAAAACGCACAAGTCAAAAGACAGTCAAGTAATGAGACAAATGGTAAAAACATATATAAAATAAAAATAAAAATCCAAAATAATAAAGATCGCAAAGGCTAAATCATTAGAGTCGAAACGTATGGAAATTCGAAAATAAATGAAGAATTTAATTTAATTGCGCATTCCTATACCCCTATTTCTTTTACTCTAATTATTATTTAAAATAATTATTTTAGATATATATAAATAAGGAATTAATTACCGCATGTATAGTAATATGTAGAAATTTTATATCTTTATAATGTGTTTTGCTAAATAGATATATAATAAAATAAAGAATTGTAAATAAAGATTTAACTATTTTAGCTGTAGAAATTATGCAAATATGAACAAAATTATTTATTGTATGTAATGATTACATATATTAAACTTCTTACCTTTTCATGGTATATACCAAACGCAATTGTCAAGAAAGTTATAAACTTTTCTAGCGTATAACATATATAATATTCGAGGGGATAAGACTTGTAAATAAAATATACTAATGGATAAGTTATGAGAAAGTAGAATATCCAAAATAACATCATATAAAGAAAACTAAACCATAATTTTGAGTGATGTTTAGATAAGTTGGCAATTCTTAAACCAAATATATAACTGATTTTTAAGAGCGGTGATAAAATCATTTGAATGCCTTTGATCATTGTGTATACTGTTACTATTCTAAACTGTACTTTTGTTACCAAACGGTTGCATGAGTTGCCCCGAATAGTGATAATGGATCTTTGTAATTTCAAATAAGGTACTTATGGATATTAAAGTAATCAATAGTTTAATTTATATGCCATCTCACTCTCCCTTCCTTTTTCCCATGATCTAATAAATAAAATATGATGAATAGATCTTTCTACAATTTTTTAAATATAATAAAATGTATTATTTTAAATGCTCTTTTCCTTTATTTAATCTGTTTCTTTTTTGTATAATAGCATATATTTCAAAACTTTATTATATAAGATGAGTTAGATTTTGATTACAATTATAGTTATAACAATATAGATAATATGTAAATATTACAAGCATATATAATTATAATAAGCTATTTTTTATTACAAAAAAATTAAATCATTTAATTATATAAAACTAATTTTTGCACATAACAGTAATTCTAAGACTAAAAACATAAGACTCCGAAGAGATGAATTTAATATATAAATATATTGCACAATATTTATTATTTATTTTGTATTATAATAATGTTAATAACTGTTCGTCTAATTATTGTTTAATTCCTGTAATCCTAATATAGAGTCAATAATCAAATCTAAAAGATATTATATTGCGTTCTTATAAGATGTTGCATTGATTATCATCTGATTTTATTTCATGAATTTTTTTATAATTTACTCTAAAAATATTTACTCATTTGTATGGGCTTGTATTATAATAATTAAAACAGTTGCAATCATCATGATAAACTGGAAATAAAGAAAATGTATATAAGACTTCTTTTTAAACATTTGTTAATTTAATTATTAATAATGCAAATATATAAATATCACATACCCTGTAAAGAAATTTGTAGCCAAACTGAAAGAGTCCGATCCCGTAGAATTTAAGTGGTGCGTGAATCATTTGCAATGAAAATTGCGAAATCTATTTTAATACAATAGATTATGTTTAATGTATATTTTGTTATATATATTTATTTAGAGTTATTATATTTTATTTTAATTACAATTCAATAAACTTATTATAAAACTTACAATTTTACGAACTTCATCGTCATAAGTGAAATACGATAATCTGTTCATTAAATCTTCTGTTATTCTTGCCTATAATTGAAATATATTGACTGAATTTATAGCTATTTTTAATTTAAAACTAATTTATAATTTAAAACTAAATAATTATAAATAAATACTTATACTGAATATAAAACTGAATATTAAGTTTTTATTAAAAATAAAATTTGAATCAATACTTTTTGAAATTATAAAAAGAATTAATACCTTGGTGCTAACTGTTTCGCACATGTAATTAATTAGCAGGAATTTGAAAACATTATAAAAAACCAAAGTGAATTTAGAATGGCAGATATTATTCTAAATTTCACGTAATCGTCGATAAGTATTGTGTAGAAAAATGCACGTAAATCTAATGCTAACCAACCAAAATCACATGCCATTCTGAAGGTCATTTGTGTTCCGAATATTGAATCTATGTCACGGGATATTTTTCGTAATTCCAAGTGAAGATGTCTACACATACATATACATATACATATAGATAGTATATTTCATTATATACGTACTATATAAGTGATACTATATAAGTGACAACTTTTATTAATTAACTTTGTTGCAATTAATAAGATTTACATAAATTTTCTTACATAACGATCCATGCCATAAATTTGCTATTTAAAATATTTGGGAGCTTCTGTTGGTGCGAATATATTATAGGATTCCAATCCAATTTTTTCAATCCAAGATTTATTTTACATTTGTCATTTTCTATAAAATTCTGTATGTATTCATTGACTTGATCAAATTTTAATCCTATGTAACTATAAAAAAAGATTGATAAATATTTATTTATTATGTACAGTCATATATCTACATCTTTAAAAATATTTTGAAATAATTTAATGATTACTGAATATTTAGTATTAATATTTTGTAAATATAATTATATGTTATAGAACAATAATTACGCGTATTTCTAAAAAAATATACTAACTTAAGGATACTTGCAGTAGTTAAGTCACCAATAACGTTAATATGAAAACAATAATTTCGCATAAATATGAAAAAAGCAGCTGTTAAAATGGTACAATTATATTCTTTTGTAACGTATAATGTTGTAGAGCAATTCAGTAATATAATTAACATAAACCATCCTAAAACAAGCCATATTGTTTTCTTACGTAACTTATCATAATCTGTCACTTTTCCTAGTTTAAGCAATGTGTCATCGATAATGTCTAGCTTCTTCAAGCAATTTCGAAATTTCTGTAAAAAAAGATACAATATCAAATAAACAAATAATTCTATAAATAAATAATTACTCAAAAATGTTTACATGTTATATATCTTATATGTTCAATATGTAATCTTAAAAACATACATTTTTTTATTTTTTTCATATTTATTTATTTTTGATGTGTATATTATAATAATTTAAAGCTTTGTATTTGATATTGTAATAAGTGCATATATATAAATACATTTAAAATTGTTTATTAATAATGATTTATTAATTTAAACATCTTACCTTATCATGACATATACCAAATACAATAGACAATAAGGTTATAATGATTTCGAGCAAAAAACAAATATGTTTTTCAATGAAAGAAAACTTTTCAAAAAATGATATTAATGTAGATATTGTGAGGAAATAATAAACTAACCAAATTAATAGAATATATAAAAAACTAAACCATAATTTTATATGACCCGTAGATAAATTGGCAATTCTTAAACCAATCACGTAACTAATTATCAAAAATGGTGATAAAATTGTTCGAATACTTTTGATCATTGCGTATACCATTGCCAACTCAAACTGCCCTTTTCTCTGTTGACCAAATGATTGCATAAATTATACCGAATGTTAATGAAAGCGGATGTTATTTCACTTATGTATATTAAAATAATTGATCGAATAATGTTTATGCATTATAATCTATCAAAATAAGCATGATAGATATCACTTGAGTTTTCTTAAAACATATTCATTAAAATAATAAAAACGTAAATACTTCTAACATTTTATTTTCTATTTTTTATATTTATACAATATTATTATATATATCCAGAAATATTAATATACTAAGCAAATATACTAAGCAAATATACTAAGCACTAAGCAATTTAACAATATTAATGGAAAATGTACTGTTAAAAATTGTTATGTTATTATTTAATATGCATGCAAAAAATTATAATAAATATCAAAAATACTTTTTGTTATAACTGAAAGATGTATTTTATAAACCAAATAAATTTTATTTCAAAGAACAATTGTATATAAATAATGAAAAAGAAAGAGAGAGAGAATATATAAAAAAGAGCTATAAAATATAAAAAAAAATTAATAGAC